TATGATTTTATTTACATGAAATTTTAGAACAGGCAAAACTAATTTGGGGCGGGAGAAACATCAGAACAGTGGTTGCCTCTGGGGAAAGGAATTTGGAATGGTGATTGAGTGGGAGGTGGTATGAAAGAATTCTGGGGTGATGGTAATGTACTTTATCCTGTAGGGGTTTGTGTTACAGAATTGTATGAATTTGTCAAAACTCTTTGAATGGTATGTTTGATACTTGTGCATTTTATTGTATATTAACTTTAAAGGAAAAAAAAAGATCTCTAAAGTAAATATTAAACTTTTGTTAATGATATGCATGCTGAAGTGTTTGCAGGGAGTGTACTGATTTTGCAAATTACTTTGAAATATGTCAAAAATAAGGTGATTGATGGATGGACAGTGTCTGAACACATTGTAAAATTTTGCACTTTGAGGACACTGAGGGTGAGGGCTTGCAGAAAGTGAGGAAAATTTTATTGGAAACTGGAGGAAAGGGAATCTTTGCTGTGTAGTGGTAGAAAGTTTAGCAATACTGTTTGTCTGCTGTTGTGCAGAAAACAGAAAATGTGCCTAATACTATGGGTAACCTAGCCAAGGAGATTTTCAAACAGTGTTGAAGGTGTCACCTGATTTCTTCTTGTGGCTTATGATAAAATGCAAAAGCAGGGAGTTAAATTGAGAGAAAGACTGCAAAGAAGTCAAGGGTATGATTAAGACCTCAGAAAGAACAAAGGTGGTGCCTGGTGTACTCTTCAGTCATATAAGAGCTCTTTAAAGAAATTAAAGGTGTGCCTCAGATTCTCTCAAACATGCCTCTAGGAAGCTTAAGGGTATTGTCCTCAATTGTCTCAGCAGGGGCCCAAGGCAGAGAAGGGTTGATATGGAAAAGATATGTAGGTGTGACTTCTGCCTAATGGAGTGAACCCCCAGAAGAATCACAGGAGACCCATAAATTTCTTAAAGGAGTTATATATTCAGAAACACCTCTAGTTTGGGCTGAAAGGGTCAGAAATGGAATAAAATGAGGGGAGGCCTTTGAACCCTCAGAATTCTACTGTCAAGATGCAGACTGAAGGAGCTGCTCAGTTGCAAACACAGGTTACCTTTCATAAAAAAAAAAAAAGGCGGGGGATGACTCAGAGGGCAGAATAAAGAAACCAAGAGCAGAGCTGAGAACCCTGGAAGAACCTTAAGAACCTGGGCCTTAAGACTTGATCAGGAAACGCCCAACATTCTCAGAATGCCGCGGCCCAATGACTCCTTGTCTGGGAGGTTTTGTATGCCTGTCCCACCACTCTGTGTTGGGTATGTGGGGGAGATAAGCTGTTTCTTTGTTTCATACGTTGAGAAGAAACGTACTCAGAGAGCTGTATTTAAGGAATAAACCCGAGGAACCTCGGCTGCACCTGCACCTGATTTAGACAGGAAATTCTGGGCACTGTTTACGCTGTGAGGGGAGGAGACTTTTGCAAGTCTTGAGGGGTGAATACATTCCGCATTTGGGAGGGACATAAATCATGGGCCAGAGGGTAGACTGTGGTAGCCAGGTTCCAGGATGACTACCAATGACCACTATCTCCTGTCCTCGTCCCCTCCTCTTGAATGTGGACTGGATATACCGACTTGCATCTAACAGTACAGATGGGAGTGAGGTGATGTCAGCTCTGAGGTTAGGTTATAAAAGACGGTGGTTTCCGCCTTGAGTGCTCTTGCTTGCTCTCTCTTGGGTCCTGGCCTGGGGAAGCCAGAGGCAAGGTTGTGGGGCAGCCAGTGGTGAGGCTCACATGGTGAGGGATTGAGGCTTGCAAACATGGGGGTCAAGCCCCCCAACCCCTCCCACAGCTTGACTGGCACCTGATACTAACTTTTGGGACAATTTGTTATGCAACAATAGACTAATACAAAGAGGAGCAGAATTGAGACACCAGCATGGAAAGGAAAAAAGTAAATGAGCAAGTCGATAGGACACAGTCCTCTTTTCTCTTAAAACAGTCAAGAATAATCTTGAAGATAAAGAGTGAGAGAGATATGAAATGATCAACGTTCAAATAAGGAAATACTAAGAAAATACAACAGCAGAGAAAGGTGAGTAAGGAGGGAAAGGGATAAGTACTCTTGCTGAAGATTCCTCTATAATTCAAGGAGATAAACAAAAGGCTGGCTTAAGAAAAAAGAAGGCCAGTGTGGTCTCTGTGGGGGAGAGGCTGGGTCATGGAACCATTGAGAGGCTACTGACATCGTAGGGGCATCAATGAAAAGTCACACAAACCCTTGTAAGGGATTATATTCTGGGAACCATAATTACAGAGTCACTAGGGCTGCTCTGAAATGACTGATGCTGAGGAGGGAAGAGGTGACGCAATCTCTAGGAATTCATCATTTATTTTGGAAGCAATATCTGGAAAAAATAGAACTGCTGGCAAATCTTTATGCTCACATTATTAAGGAGGCCAAGGATGATTATTTAGATGTAAAATGGTTGCTAGAGATGATGTAGTTGCACGGGTAAAAAACTTTTATAAAGTTGTAAATCTACTGCTTGAAATACTGGACGATGGGAGGTGTGGACATGGTCATAGAAATGGGAGGCCCAGCTACAGCAAAGGAGGGAGCACCATCTGACTGGACAGACCCTCTCACCTGCGGAAGTTAAAGCCTAAACGTAGATTACAGTGGCAGCATGATGCCAGGCAGTTTCTATGCAAACAGAAAAACACCTTAAAGAACAGCAAAGCAACTAAGAAAATTTGAAAAAAATTCAAAACTTAAATATAGCCCAAAATAATATCTTTTTTTTTTTTGATCCAGGAAAAAAATGTAATTACTATTGAAAAACAAATATCTGGTCACATCTGCCAAACGAGTCAAGTGCCTAATACCGTACTGGGTACCGTAGTGAACAGAAAAGAACTCTGGCCTCTGAGGTGCTCAGGACCTTGCTGGAGACTCAAGCTCCATGTGGTAAACAACTGGAGGAAGATTCAAGAAAGGACAGTCAGCCTGACAAGAAGGTCGTCCTTGGGGTGGTGAGATGAGGTCCAGAGGGAGAAGAGCAGCTGGAGAGAGGGGATGGGGAGCCCACAGAGGAGCCAGAGGGACTGTGTGGGCAGTTGGAGTTGGAGGAGGAGAGACTTCATCTCTGCATGTCAAGGTGGAGGGGGCTGGGGGAGGGACTGAAGAGACCTCTGCTGGCAGCAGTGTCAGGGAACTGATGGCCCACAAAGGATGGAGATGGGAAGAGTGGAGAGAAAACTGAGATACTGGTATAGCTACCCATTCCTTCATTTCACAAATAACGAGCGCAGTTTGGGGCAAGGTCCTGTGCTGGGTGCTGTGGAGATGCACAGATAAACTCTGTCCTCAAGGTGTACAGTTTGGTGGGGAGACCAGGGAGCTGGACGGATAACACTCACATGAGGCAGAGGGGCACCAGGAGACTCCTGTGTGAATTCTCCAGCCAGGGAAATGAGGATAGGCTTGGAGAAAGGGGTTAGTGCATTTTGTCTGCATAGGACTTGGATTCTTTAAAGCAATTTGGTAGTGAGAGAAATTAGAGCAAGAAGAAAAGTGGTTAAAATGGGCAGTAAAATCTTAAACTTCTGTGATTTTTTTTCTTAGCAGAAAATAGCAATGGCATGTGACCAACAAAGCACACGAGGACATGGTGAATCCAATTTTCCAAGTTGGATGAGGAAGGACAGGTGAAAAGGGAGGTGGAAGCAGCAACGTCCTTAGCACATGGCTTACAGCTAGTCCCGTGGGCCATGACTCCCTGAGGCTGAGAGAGAGACTCAGAGAGAGACTCAGAGAGGGCTCTGCAGCGAAGCACTGAGCAGAAGCAGAGGTCAAAGGAGGCACGACTAGGGTGTGGTCGGTGGATAAGTTAGGGTAAAATTAAATCCTACCTTGGTGAAATAAATTGAAAAGCTAAGGATGTGAACCTGTGGGTCTTTGAAAGAATGGTTAAAACTAAAACTGATATAGGGTCTTTTAGTAAGATATTTAATGGCCAAAGAGAAAACCAAGATGATTACATATTAAATAGATATATCTTTCTGCATTCCCTGTCCCACAAAGAAAAAATAATGAATAAAACAAAAAAGACGAAGTATATTTCACCATAATAATTATCACTTCTGTGCTTACTCTTTGCCACCCACTGTTGAAAGGGCTTAATAAGTATTAATTATTTAATCCCCACTGCAACTCTGTGAGGAAAATACAATCATCACCATTTTACCAATGAGACTGAGGCACGGAGAGGTCACCTTGTCTAAGGTCTTGCAGCTTGTAAGTAATGACTATGCTAAACTGCTTCTCACAATTATCCTAAACCTGGTCACAAACTTTGGGTGAGTCACCCTCTAGTGGAATGAGTTTAGTGCCACTTGCAACAAGAATAAGACCACAAATCCTTATTATGAAGATGACAACTTTGGACTGACAGTAGATAGTGCTTTAAAAATCACACGATTACCAAGCAGGTTTGAAAAGCTGTAAATGGATGTGAGTGGACAGCGGGAAGATTAAAAAGGAAATAAGAGGTCATTGGTCCAGGAAACAAAGTTTATCAAATGGCACTGGCGGTAACATCAAGGCAGCCAATCCCCTGATAAGGATTCACACAACGGACCCTATGCTGGGTAGACATGAGGCCCTGGGAGCCTGTGGCAGCATGGCATGGCACTGTAATCATGCACTGATGCAGGGGTAATCTTGCATATCTATGAAATTTGTCTCCTTTTAGGAACTGTTTCCAAAAGAACTGGACGTTTGGTGAAAATGTGATATAAGAATCTAAGACACCATTATTGTAAAATACATTTATATTATAAAACACATATTAGGGGGAAATAGACCTTGCTGGTTTCTAATTAATGAAGCATGGCTTTTTCAAAGGCACAGAAGGTAAAGCTTCCCTCAAATCTCACCAACAATGATGTCAGGACACAGGGAATGCTGCAGAGGGGCAGAGGAGGCTGAGTTCAGAATCCCACAGTTGTGACTGTTACCTGCTGGGCTTTCTTTGATGGGGCAGGAAGTGGAGCTGTCTTCTGCTGTGTCATGTCTGTGTCTCCTCCTCCTTCACCATCTGATGCTTCTAGGAGATATAAAGTTTAAAAATTGGAAAAGGGTTTCTCTCTCTCTCTCCCATTGCTAGTGCAATCTTGGTACCACCTTCCTAGAAGGTTCTATCCCTTGACTTAGTAATTCCATCTCTAGGAAGCTGAACTTAAGGAAATGATCCAAAATGAAGATAGAGATGTAAGCGCCAAGATGGCAGTCTCAGTTGAAAACTGATGATTATTCAGATGTCTAACATTAGAGAATGTTTAATTACGGAACACTCACACTGATTTTACAGATATTAAACTCCCCATTTTCAGATAAGAAAGCTGCTGCTTAGAGGGGTGAAGCAATTTGCCCCAGGTCACACACCTGGGAACCCAGATCTGTTTGAGTCCAAAGTCTTCCCCACAAGTGATACTGCCGGCACTGAGAACCACCCAGCTCTCGACACCCGGCTGCTGGCCCCAGCGGGAATGTTAAGAGATTGTGACAAGGATTATAGACCATGAGAAATTCTTATTTGAAATTTTTAAATCTTTCAACAATAGAAGAAATAGATTTTTACTCTAAGAATCACAAAAAATAAAAGTTTTAATGGTTTTCCTGTTTATAAAGCTCTCTCGAAGAAACATGGCAACCATTAGTTTCTTACTTCCCACAATGCCACATTGTCTTCCAGAGTTCAGGGGTTGCTCACTTTACACACATTTTTGAATCTTTGAAAGGCTTTACTCACTTCCTTTGAGTTTCTCTATATGTGAATTTGTGAGCAACCTTGGTCAGAATTCATAGTTAGGTCCAAATTAACCACTTTGGTAGGGCTGAACTTTTAAATGTTTGTATACTGTGATGCTTAATTTTACGTATCAACTTGATTAGGCCACAGGGTGCCCAAATATATGATCAAACATTATTCTACATTGTTCTGTGAGGGCGTCTTTGGATGAGATTAACATTTGAATGGGTAGACTGAATAAAGCAGATTGCCCTCCCTAATACCATGGGCCTCATCCTACCAGATAAAGGCCTGAACAGAACAAAAAGGCTGACCCTCCCCTGAGTAAGGGAATTTTTCCTGCCTTTGGACTTGAAATGATATATCAGCTCTTCCTGGATCTGGAGCCTGCCAGCTTCCAGACTGGAACTATACCATCAGTTCTCCTGGGTCTCAGGCCTTCTGACTAGGCGTGGAACTCAACAATTGGCTCTCCTGGGTCTCCAGCTTGCCAGTTCACCTTGCAGATCTTGGGACTTGCCAGCCTCCATAACTGAGTGAGCCCATTCCTTGTCTATCAGTTCCTACCTGTCTGTCTGTCTGTCTATCTATCTACTACTGGTTCTGTTTTTTCTAGAGAACCCTGATTAATACACGTACTTTTAACTGTATAACATGAAAAAAAAGACTCTGCCCAATGGAGTAATAGCAGGTAGGAGAATAACAGGGCTTTTTAAATGAGCAATTAAGTTGGGCATTAAAAGTATTTATAGAACTTCTGCTTCTAGGAAGATAGTAATAGTAGTCATATTTTTCCCTATTCCTCCTGCTAAGTACAACTAAAAATCTTGGACATTATATATGAAAGAAACATAGGAAGTCTCTGAAAGGTGGAGAGAAGGCAGACCTGCTAGGGACTTTGGGGCCCAAGGAACAACATAGTGCTGAGCTCTGTGGGTTATCTTTTTGGCTCATTATCTCAGACTTGGAGCTAAAGAAGCTAGCAACTTGGAAACGCCAATGGGAACAGAAAAAAAAGTCCCCCAAAACATCTGCCTTATTTAACAAAATGACCAGGAAAGGGGCAGCCTAGCAAGACCAAAAACTTTTAGACAGAAACCACCTGACTCCAGCCAAACACCACAGGAAATTATGGCTCCACCAGCAAAGGCTGAGTGGGGAGCCTAGACTTCCACCCTTGCCAGGATGTAACGAGGTGCACCAACTCCTCCTCCACTTCCCACCAGCTGCTGTCAGAGATGGTCGTGCTGAACCCCCCAAAACGGATTTTCATCCCTGAAGGGTGGCAACAAACCCCTGTCCTCTCTTCTCATCGCCACCACCACCATTGCAGTACCAATGGAGACCACATGGGGAGCCTGGACTTCCACCTCCTCCTGGCAGTAATGAAGTGCACCTCTCTCTCCCCACTAGGACAGAGTCCAGAGGAGGCCTAGAAGAGAGTCAGGATTTACCACACTGCCCAGTGGTAATGAGGCCACATGTACACTAATGGTTCTAGCAACCACTAAAAAAGCAGTACGAATAGAGATACTCAAAAACACTATGATAAATCAAAATAGAATTTTAAATATGTTCAAGTAACCCACAGGCAGCAGGAAAGAGAAAACAGAGAAACAAAAAGCAAACAAACAGAAAAGACAAAATAAAATGGCAGATTGAAATCCCAACATATCAATAATTACATTAATGTAAATGGTCTCTGTCAATGTAAAGACAGAGACTAAAGACTGGATTAAAAAACATGACCTAACTATATGATGTTTATAAGAAACTTACCTCAAATATAATAATATAGGCAAGTTGAAAGCAAAATGATGGAAAAAAACATAACATGCATATATTGATCAAAAGAAAGCAAGAGTGTCTATATTAATATCAGACAAAGTAGTCTTCAGAGTAAAGAAAATTACCGGAGAAAGAGAAGACATTATATAATGATAAAAGGGTGAATCTGCTAAGACATAGCAATCCTAAGTGTGTATGCACCAAACAACAGAGCTATAAAATATGGGCAGCAAAAAAAAAAAAAAAAATTTAAGAAATGAAAAGTGAAATAGACATACCTACAATTAACTTGCAAACTTCAACAGTCCTCTCTCAAAAATTGAGAGATGACTAGACAGAAACTCAGCAAGGATATAAAAGAACTGAGTGACACCATTAAGCAATAGGATTTTGATCAACATTTGTGGAACACTCTACTCAACAACAGCAGAATATAGTTTTCAAGTGTTATGGAACATATGCCAAGACAGCCCATATTCTAGGACAGAAAACATCAACAAATTTAAAAGAATTGAAATTGATAAACATCATGTATAGAAAACCTATAGCAAACATTATACTTAATGAAAGACTGAAAGCTTTCCCTTTGACTGGGAACAAGGCAAGGATATCTGCTCTGACCGGTATTATTCAACATAGTGCTAGAACTTTTAACGAGTGCAATAAGACAAGCAAAGGAAAGGAAAGGCATATACATCAGAAAGGAAGAAATCAAACCACCCTCATTTGTAGATAACATGATTATGTACATTGAAAATCTCAAGGAATCTAAAACAAAAAAAACCCAAAACTGCCAGAACTAGGTGAGTTTAGCAAAGTTGCAGAATAAAAGATAAACATGCAAAAATCAATTTTATTTCTACATACTAGCAATGAACATGTGAACACAAAAATTAAAAGTACAATGCCATTACAATTGCTAAAAAACCCCAAAATACTTAGGTGCAAATTTAACAAAACATGCATAGGACTTCTGCACTGAAGACCACAAACACTGATGAAAGAAATCAAAGAAGACCTAAATAAATGGAGAGACAAGCCACGTTCAGGGATTGGAAGACTAATCACAGTAAAGATGCTAGTTCTCCCCAAATTGATATACAGGTTTAACATAATTTCTATCAAAATCTCAGCAAGATTTTCTCTAGCTATATACAGATCATTCTAAAATTTAATGTAGAATGGCAAAGGAGCTAGAATAGTTAAACCAATTTTAAAAAACAATAATCGAGGGGGAGGAATTAATCTCCACAATTTCAAGACTTATTATATAGCTACAGTAATCAAGACTGTGCGATATTGGTGAGGGATAGACACGTAGATGAATGGAATAGAATACAGACTCAGAAAGAGACACACACAAAATGCCCAACTGATTTTTGACAAAAGTGCAAAAGCAATTCAGTGGAGGAAAGATAACTTTTTCAATAAACGGGAAAAAAAAAAAAAAAAACCCCACAGGGAAAAAAGTGAACCTCTACCTAAGTTTCACACAATATACAAAAATTAATTCAAAATAGATCACAGACTTAAATGTAAAACGTAAAACTACAAAACTTTTAGGAAAAAAAAAGGAGAAAATCTTCAGGATCTAGAGTTAGGCAAAGAATTCTTAATTTTCACACCAAAAGTACAATCAATAAAAGGAAAAATTGATAAATCAGACTTTATCAAAATTGAAAACTTTAGCTTTGCAAAGATCCTGTTAAGAGGATGGAAAAATAAGCTACAAAGTGGGAGAAATATTTGCAAACCACATATCTAATAAAGTACAGACTAGTACCTGGATAATATAAAGAGTTCTCAAAATTCAACACTAAAAAAATGAACAATCAAATTAGGAAACGGCAAAAGACATCAACAGGTCACTGAAGAGGATATATTATGGCAAATAATTATAAGAAAACATGTTCCATGCTATTAACCAATAGGGAAATGCAAATTAAAAGTACAGTGAGATATCACTACAAACCTATCAAGGGCTAACATTGAAAAATAGCACCAACATCAAATGCTGGTAAGAATGAGGAGAAACTGGATCACTTATACACTGCAAGTGGGAATGTAAAATGGTACGGCCACTTCCATTCCACAAATGGAAAACAGTTTGGCAGTTTCTTAAAAAACTAAACATGCAACTACTATACAACATAGCAGTCACACTCCTGGGCATTTATCCCAGAGAAATGAAAACTTACACAAAAACCTGTACAGCTTTATTTATTTGTTTACAGTAGCTTTATTTATTATTCATAATAGCCAAAAAAATGGAAGCAGTCCAGATGTCCTTCAATGAGTGAATGGTTAAACAAACTGTGGTACATCCATACCCTGGAATACTACTCAGTAATAAAAAGGAATGAATGACCGATACACGAAACAACATAGATGAATCTCCAGAGAATTACGCTGAGTGAAAAAAGCCAATCCCAAAAGGTTACATATTGTGTGATTCCATTTATATAACATTCTTGAAATGACAAAATTATAGAAATGGAGAACAAATAGTGGTTGCTAGGGGTCAAGGAAGGGGGGGGTTGGGAGGGAAGTGAGTGTGGCTACAAAAGAGCAACATTTCCGTCTTGTGGGGACGGAAATGTTCTGTATCTTAACTGTATCAATATCCCTGTTTTGATATTGTAGTATAGTTTTGCAAATGAATCTACAATGATTTCAAAATTAAAAAGTTTAATTAAAAAAAAAGTCTTTAAAGGAAATCCATCCTCTTCTTTAGGAAGCCCAAAATTATTATGCTGAAAAAGCCAACAGATGTGTGGTTGGCTGTGGCCCAGACTGGAGCATCATCCTGCTGCTGGGGCACCCCTGCCACTGCTGTCCTGATCCCAAGGGCTAAGAAGGCAGCCAGGTTCAGAGAACCACAGTCAACCTGGGAGGTCAGGATGGAGTCTTCAAAAATAAAAGACCATGGCCTAAGGTTGCCCAAGTACAGGATGCTCCATTAAATTTGAATTTCAGATAAACACCAAATAATTTTTTAGTAAAGGTATGCCCCAAATATTGCATGGGGAATATCTATATGGTATTAAAAATTATTCACTGTTTATCTGAAATTCAAATTTAATGAGGTGTCATGTATTTTTACTTGCTAAATCTGGTCACCCCACCTGGGGAATTTACTTCCCCAGAAAAGACCACCTTTAGTCCTGAGAAACTTCTTATATTGGCTTCTATCCCTGGGGCCTCCTTTCTCTTAACATCCTCCAACGCATCTTCATCTAGGAGCCTGGCTGACTACACAGCCCTCCTTCTTCGTCTTGTCTCTGCACTTCTACACTTACTGTATCCTGTAAACCAGCACATAATTTTATCCCTCCTCAAAGTGTGTGCCAATATTGCAAAAATGTTAGGCTTTCTCTCCATCTGAACCATAAATACTTTGAGGGTACCCATGAATGCCCCAAGTACTTGGCCTAGTGCTGATTAAAAGTAAAATGCACTCCCCTATACCTGTTGCTTTACTTACATTTTTATTATAAAAGTAACATATATTCTCTGTGTAAAACATTAGACCCCTTACACAAATCTTCTATCCTTTTATTAGCTTTAAAAATTACTTTAAGATAAAAAGGAAGAAAAACAAATAAATCAATGCCAGGATCAAATCCATAAATATTTAAAACTCAAGTAATGGTTTTAAAAAAAAATTCTGAATTCTATATTCCTCCATTGCCCAGAATTTGATAACTGAAGAAGTACAGTCTATATTTAAGCCATCTAGTTGAAAATAATATATTTCTAAAGGTATGTGACTCTTACGCAACAAAAACCCAAAAGAAATTTTTAAAATATCTTGTTAATCGAATGCTCTAAATCTGAGTTACCTGTTGTTACAAAAACTGTTTCATCTGAAACCTTTTACCATATAAACTGAGATCATCTCAGATCACAATAGGTTGAATAAATTGGTTGTTTCTTTCGTCTGTGATGTTTTTTGGTTCCAAAAGAGAAAAGTGCTTTTCTGAAGTAAGGATGCTAGTTCTGTGATTTCCATTAAAAGAGTATTGAAAGAAAAGGATGGGACCCCAGCTCCCCAGCCCGGCTCCGGCACCCAGGCTCCTCCAGAACCACTGGCACTGGAGGAGGGTGAGCCAGGCAGGGGCCACGGAATCCCAGTGGCTGATGCAGCCCGTGGAGTGGAGTCACCAAGATGGACGCCTCCTCATCTCCAACTCCAAGAGTCTACTTAAAAACAAAACAAAACAAAAAAGATACCACCAGATGGGACTCCTCTTTCAAAAGAGGAGTCAAGTACACTGTCCTTTTCAACCCAAGGCAAAAAGAGCAAGCTAGAACATAAAGTTGCACATATCTTCTCTTTTCCGCAATCCCCGCCTTCATCTTCTTAATGAGAAGTATCGAAGTCCAATTTCCCAGCAATTTCCTTACGCTTCTAAGTACTTGCTTGCATGAACCCCTTCTAGGCCCTGGGAAGGACTCTAGCAATGGATTATAATGTTAATTTTTCTTAAAAATTTGTAAAAGATAATTGTGGTTAAAATAAAAAGAATAGACCACTGTCTATTTCCACTCAGCATTCACCTCTGTAACCTCTCCCCTAGTGAGTGGTGTTGGAGTGGGAGTGAGCACTTTGGGGATCTAG